CTGTATGTGGGACAGGACCCAGTGCGTGTGGCTCACGGCCACTTCCCTGGATGGGGCCAGTATTAACCAATCGTCTATATAGGTTAATATTCTTACCCCCGCACGTCTGATCGGCTCCAGAGCTGCTTCCACACATTTGGAAAAGGTGCGAGGCGCGAGTGCGTACCCGAAGGGGAGACGGCAGTACTCGTAATTCCTCTCTCCCACTGCGAAGCGCAGAAACCTCCTGTGTTCTGGCACTATGGGCACGTGGAAATAAGCATCTGTCAGGTCTATGGAAGTCATCCAGTCTCCTTCCCTGACACACTCGAGGAGCTGCCTTGTGGACAGCATCCGAAACTGCCGTTTGGAAATGCACTCGTTTAACACGCGCAGATCCAGAATGGGACGCACCCCGCCTGATTTCTTTGGCACTAAGAAGTAAGGGGAGTACAGCCCCCTGGTGGCGTCCTGCGGGTCTACCTCCACTGCTGCGCCTCGACTCAGCAGAGAGGAGACCTCCGCTTCTAGTGCCTCTGTCGATCCCCGTACTTGAGAGCGTACTGCCCGTACGCCTCGGAATGGTGGTGGCTTTCGGAAAAATTGCAGAGCGTAACCTCTGCGCAGAGTTTTCTCCAGCCAAATATCTGTCAGTAGGCCCTGCTCCCTCCAGATGCTGTAGAAATCTGTGAGGGGCGGAACGGGAGCTGGAACACGAGACGTCACGGCCCCGCCCTCTCCTGGTGTTCCTAGCAGGGAGGGGGGGTGGCTGAAAGGGCCGGGGGGGCCCCTGCGTCACACCGTGAGCGCCGAGGGCGGTCACGTGTTCTGCAGGCCCGACGTCATAAGTACGGGACTGCTCACCACACGTGACTCGGCTGCTGTGCCCCCCCCTGGCTCTTGCCTCATGGAGGGGGGGACGAGCCCCTGGATTGGGAAACCCCGTGTTAGCCTTGTAGCTCAGAGATGCTAACACGCGTTCGGCTGGAGCACACACATTATCACTTACCAGATCCCTCCGCCTGCCCTCTCTCCGGGAGGGCAAAACATGAACCAGTGAATCAGAGCCCGTGGCCCGCGTAGCGCGCTGCACGCCCTTCTCTGGGGGCTGCAGGCCTAGCGGAGCCACGTTATATGCTCGAGAAGTAACACAATCAGAATTCAAATCATTTGACATGTTACATACCCCCAAATGAGACTCAGACAGCGAGTACTGATGAAATGCCGGACGGCCTTTATTGAAAACATTTTTCCCACCCCGACCTCCTCTGCCATAGGGAGGTCGTCGTTGGGTGTGTTCAATCAAATCAATCAATCAAATTTTATTTATAAAGCGCTTTTCATACAAAAAGTGTAACACAAAGTGCTTTACAGTTTAGTTAAAAACAATCCAACATGCCCAGCCCTAAACCCTCCTCCCCACAGACCCCCCCAAAATCACATTTATAATTATATATACAATACACACACCCACACACACACACACACACACACACACACACACACACACATATACACAAGTGTAAAGTCATATCAGGTAAAATAGGTAAAACAATAAAAAGAAATGGGGCTGGGAGCAGATGTAACCGGCTGAAGAAGCGTCATCCAAGGAGCCATCTGCACCAGGAGCAGAGAGCCGGCTGCAGCCACAGGCAACGACACAGGACCCAGAGGAGAGAGGGGCCCCAGACCCCACCAGGCCCAGGACTCAGACCCCATAGGACCCAGAGGAGAGAGGAGGCCCCAGACCCCCACCGGATCCAAGAGCCAGTCCCCCGAAGCCACAGCAGACCCCAGCTCTCAGTGCAGAGGGCTCCTCCAGAGGAAACACTGGGGACACTAAAACAATACAATAATACAATAGAGAGTAGAACAATAGAATGTGAAAATAAAAAGAAAAATGGCAGCTGCCTAATATAATAACAATAGTAAATGGGTAGATACAATAAATAATTAAAAATAGTAAATAATAAAAATAAATAAAAATATAATCCGTCTAAAAACATAAATAGATGTACTAAAAAGCAATAATAGATAATAAATACTAATCAAAAGCTGCTCTAAAAAGGTGCGTCTTGAGCCTACTCTTAAAAATATGAACGTTCTCTGCGGCCCTGAGCTCCTCCGGCAGACTGTTCCAGAGACGGGGGCCGTAGTGCTGGAAAGATGCCTCGCCGTGAGTGTGTGTCCTGACTTTGGGGATGGTTAGGAGTCTGCTGCCGGAGGAGCGCAGGGGCCGGGAAGGTTCATAGGATAAAAGCAAATCTGAAAGATAAGAAGGCCCAAGACCATTAAGACATTTAAAGACCATTAAAAGAACCTTAAAATCGATCCTGAAACACACGGGGAGCCAATGCAGCGATTTTAAAACCGGTGTAATGTGGTCCCGCCCCCTGGTCTTAGTCAGGACACGTGCGGCCGAGTTTTGAAGTAATTGTAAACCTGAAATGTTCTTTTTGGGAAGACCAGAGAGCAGGGCATTACAGTAGTCAATGCGACTGGTGATAAAAGCATCAGCGTCTCCGTGTTGGCCCGAGAGAGAATGGGGCGGACTCTGGCGATGTTCTTTAAATGATAAAAACCTATTTTTGTGATGTTCTTGATGTGAGGAATAAAAGTCAGCTCAGAGTCAAAGATTACGCCCAGGTTTTTCACTTGTGATGATGGATTAAAAGAGTGTGATTGGAGTTTCGGTAAAAGTTTCTCTCTCTGGGCCTCAGGACCGATGACTAAAACCTCAGTTTTGTCCTGGTTGAGCTGGAGAAAGTTTTCTGCCATCCAGGATTTCAGGTCTAAAATGCAGTTAAAAAGAGCATCCATTGGCCTGGTGTCGTCAGGAGACATGGAGATGTACAGCTGTGTATCATCAGAGACATGGAGATGTACAGCTGTGTATCATCTGCATAACTGCGGAAGTCAATTCCATGTCTCCTGACGACACCGCCAAGAGGGAGCATGTACAGGTTAAAAAGGACTGGACCTAAAATGGAACCCTGGGGCACACCACATGTGATTTTATGGACCTGAGAGGAGCAGGTATCCAAACTTACCATGAAGGATCTGTCTGTTAAATAAGAAGTGAACCATTTGTGGACAGCACCAGAGAGGCCGAGGTGTTTCAGGCGGGATAAAAGAATGGTGTGGTCTACTGTGTCGAAGGCAGCGCTAAGATCCAGTAGAACCAACACGGTCACCTTTTTAGAATCATAATTTAGTCTAAAATCATTTAAAATCTTTAAAAGAGCAGTCTCTGTGCTGTGGTTCACCCTAAATCCTGATTGAAATTTCTCTAAAATTTGCTGCTGATCTAAAAAGGCATTGAGCTGGGTAAAAACAAGTTTTTCTAAAATTTTGCTTAAAAATGGTAAGTTGGATACCGGTCTGTAGTTGTTAAAATCATTAAAATCCAAATTGCTCTTCTTCAGAAGGGGCCTCACCACAGCCGCTTTGAACAGCCGTGTTGGTCCCGCGAACCTCCCGTGTGCCTGTCTGGGCCCGGGGGTCTCGTCGCTGGGGAACGATGGACCACGGAGCGTGGATATGGTCCGGGGCGCCTGCCGGGCGAGCGCTCCCTGCCTCTGTCTCGGCTCCGCGCTGGTGGGCGGGCCTCGCGTCTCGCAGCTAGATGCTTGGCTAGGCTAGCAGAGTCCTTAGCTGCGGTGTCCAGCCTCGTTATCAGCGTCTGCATCTCCGGACCGAAGAGTGACGTTTGGGAGATGGGCAGGTCCAGCAGCTGCCTCTTCTCCGCCTCTCTGAGATTCACCGACCCCAGCCAGAGGTGTCTGGCCCCAACTTGTGCTGCTGCCATCGTGCGGCCGCCATCGACAGCTAGCGCTTGGCACATGCGCAAGATCGCCGCTGAAGTGGTCCTCGCCTGGGATAAGGTGTCTCCACTGAGTGCCTGGTCAGAGGAGAGAGACCTATCCAGGGCCCCGGTGATGAAAGCCATGTTGTTAGCCACCGCGACGACCTGAGCCGCATTGGCGTAACATCTGTCGTGCATCGCCAAAGACATCCTATCCCGCTCGGAGGGAAGGAGAGGTCTGGTGCTGGGCCACACGGATGTGGAGGGGTGCAGGGCCGCCCGAACCGAGTCCTCGATGTCCGGGACCCCGCCGGTCCAGGACCAGTCCTGCACGTTACAGTACATGCCATACCCCAAAGCGGGCCTCTTGGCCGCTAGGGGCTTTGGCCACTCCCGTGTCGCGTAATGGACGATCGGGTCCATACGCGGGCACAACGTGGGCTGGGCTCTCCTCCTCCCTCGAGTGGTGGCGTAACCAGAGGTGAAGTCCTCCACCCTCTGGTTCGGTTGCGGTGGCAGGGGGGCATCCATGATGGCCGCCGCCGTGGCGTAGAGCCCAGGCATGTGGTCCAGCGGGAAGCGGTCCGGCTCCGGGTTGGACACCACCTCGTCCAGCGTGAAGAGAGAGCCGACCTCCGACACCTCTCCGTCCTCGCAGTCACCCCACTCCGCGGGCACGGGTGGAAGGTCGAGGGGGGCCCAGTCAATCGCAGACCCCTCGTCCTGAGAGGGGTCCGGACAGGGCGCTGTAGCGGCGAAGAACGCGCGCCTGCGTTCACTCTCCTCCCTGGGGAGAGCGACACACGAGGCGCAGGTGGCGCTCAACGCCGCATGGCCCGAACCCAGGCACAGGAAGCAGCTGGAGTGCTGGTCCTTGCGCTGGAGCTTGACCCGACAAGTCGAGCAACGACGACGTCCGACGCCGGATGGCGAAGGGGAACTCGGACGAGCATCGGAAGACATCTTTCCTCAGGTAATTGAATGTAGATCTCAATCGGCGCCAGAGTGAAAGAGGGGGTGCGGCCTTGTGCAGGGGCATTTATAGAGGAAGGTGGCTGGTGATTGGAGCAAATTATTTTGATCTCTCTGGCGTGTGACCTGGGGGTCACGTGATATCCCACTAGCGAAGTCCTAAGGGACGTAGCACCATGACGTAGAACTATAGCTGTAAATGCTTCAATATCAATGTCATGTGTTTTTCTCATTTTGACGAACGATGAAGCAGCCTCAGTGTTTCCTTAGTCCAGACGGAAACCCTTCAAAGTCCATGAGAGGGGCCCGAGTCTGCGCTCTCAGCAGCAGAGAGTGGCTCTCAGGGGCCCGAGTCTGCGCTCTCAGCAGCAGAGAGTGGCTCTCAGGGGCCCGAGTCTGCGCTCTCAGCAGCAGAGAGTGGCTCTCAGGGGCCGTGTGCAGCTCAACAGGTCAATAGTCCATTAACCTCCTGAAGCAGAGTCCTGCAGTCACAGCTGCAGTCACAGGTGCAGCCACAGCTGCAGTCACAGGTGCGGTCACAGCTGCAGTCACAGCTGCAGTCACAGCTGCAGAGTCACAGGTGCAGTCACAGCTGCAGTCACAGGTGCAGTCACAGCTGCAGTCACAGCTGCAGAGTCACAGGTGCAGTCACAGCTGCAGTCACAGCTGCAGAGTCACAGGTGCAGTCACAGCTGCAGTCACAGGTGCAGTCACAGCTGCAGTCACAGCTGCAGAGTCACAGGTGCAGTCACAGCTGCAGTCACAGGTGCAGTCACAGCTGCAGTCACAGCTGCAGTCATAGGTGCAGTCACAGCTGCAGTCACAGCTGCAGTCACAGGTGCAGTCACAGCTGTACTCACAGGTGCAGAGTCACAGCTGTAGTCACAGCTGCAGTCACAGCTGCAGTCACAGGAGCAGTCACAGGTGCAGTCACAGGTGCAGTCACAGCTGTAGTCACACCTGCAGTCACAGCTGCAGAGTCACAGGTGCAGTCACAGCTGCAGTCACAGGTGCAGTCACAGCTGCAGTCACAGCTGCAGTCACAGGTGCAGTCACAGCTGCAGAGTCACAGCTGCAGTCACAGGTGCAGAGTCACAGCTGTAGTCACAGCTGCAGTCACAACTGCAGAGTCACAGCTGCAGAGTCACAGCTGTAGTCACAGCTGCAGTCACAGCTGCAGTCACAGGTGCAGTCACAGCTGCAGTCACAGGTGCAGAGTCACAGCTGTAGTCACAGCTGCAGTCACAGGTGCAGAGTCACAGCTGTAGTCACTGCTGCAGTCACAGCTGCAGTCACAGCTGTAGTCACAGCTGCAGTCACAGCTGCAGAGTCACAGGTGCAGAGTCACAGCTGCAGTCACAGCTGCAGTCACAGGTGCAGTCACAGCTGCAGTCACAGCTGCAGAGTCACAGGTGCAGTCACAGCTGCAGTCACAGCTGCAGTCACAGGTGCAGTCACAGCTGCAGTCACAGCTGCAGAGTCACAGGTGCAGTCACAGCTGCAGTCACAGGTGCAGTCACAGCTGCAGAGTCACAGTTACAGTCACAGGTGCAGAGTCACAGCTGTAGTCACAGCTGCAGTCACAGCTGCAGAGTCACAGCTGCAGAGTCACAGCTGTAGTCACAGCTGCAGTCACAGCTGCAGTCACAGGTGCAGTCACAGCTGCAGTCACAGCTGCAGTCACAGGTGCAGAGTCACAGCTGTAGTCACAGCTGCAGTCACAGGTGCAGAGTCACAGCTGTAGTCACTGCTGCAGTCACAGCTGCAGTCACAGCTGTAGTCACAGCTGCAGTCACAGCTGCAGAGTCACAGGTGCAGAGTCACAGCTGCAGTCACAGGTGCAGTCACAGCTGCAGTCACAGCTGCAGAGTCACAGGTGCAGTCACAGCTGTAGTCACAGCTGCAGTCACAGCTGCAGTCACAGCTGTAGTCACAGCTGCAGTCACAGCTGCAGTCACAGCTGCAGTCACAGGTGCAGTCACAGCTGCAGTCACAGCTGCAGTCACAGGTGCAGTCACAGCTGTAGTCACAGCTGTAGTCACAGCTGCAGTCACAGCTGTAGTCACAGCTGTAGTCACAGCTTCAGTCACAGCTGCAGTCACAGCTGCCCCTGGACCAGCGATGTGGAAACACCTTTGTCCAACGGTTTATCAAAAAGAGCATGTTTTATATATCACCAGTGTTTACGCCTATAGCCACAGCTCTCATACGCATGAGAGTAACATCCTTTATTTGTCCTACTGTGGGAAATTCCAGTGTTGCATCTCCAGTTACAGAACAGTTGGAATGAGGAGCACACAGCACAAGATAAAAGAAATAATGAAAATGAAATGTCTAGCTTTAGCATAATAAAGAAGCAAGTATAAAGTGTGTGTGTGTGTCTGTGTGTGTGTGTGCCTCTTTTTCTCTGTTAATGTGTGTGTGTGTCTGTATGTATCTGTGTGTGTGTCTCTCTCTCTGTCTGTGCATGTATGCGTGTGTCTCTGTGTGTGTGTGTCTCTGTGTGTGTGTGTCTCTGTGTTTGTCTGTCTCTGTGTGTGTGTGTGTCTCTGTGTGTGTGCATATTTAAACGTATTTGTGTCTGTTTTTATGTGGTTGTGTTTTACATCATTATCCCTAATACATAATAACATGAAACGAACCTCAGGCTACACACTGCATCTGGCCCGACCCGCCCCGTGGACCACAGCGATACCGTCTCAGACACAGAACCGCCCCGTGGACCACAGCGATACCGTCTCAGA